TGATGCACCATTTGTCTTTAAATCGTATGTGCGTGTGTGTGTACGTGCGTGCGTGCGTGTAGATGTGTGTTTGCAGGCGCGCGTATGTATGTCTGATATATGTGTGTAATTGTTTTATATATAAGTAATTTTGTATGTAATAATAATGTCTGCTGCTACTGAATGTTAACGTGTGCATAAAATGTTATGCAAATGTAGTTTATGATTTTAACTAAGGGTTCTACAAACTTCAAATTTTAAAATTTTTCCGTTTTTATTTTACAAAATATGTCGAGAGTATCATTTGATTTGGCATCACACATTCATTCGCCAAGTGAATCTAATCTGAATGATTTCAGATTTTGACATTCAAAACTGATTTTCTGAAATTCACAAACTTAATTATAATGAGGCGTTGCCTGCCTCTCTCTTTGAAATCTTCAAACCGCGTTGTTTCTCCGCTGGAAAGTCATCAGCTGCTTGCTGCTTTCCTTCCTTCCTGGAAATCTCCTCATCATCAGCTACAGAGCTGACCGGAAGTTTGTGTTTAACAGAGGTGGATCAATTATTTGTGCACGTCTGTTAGCATTCAATACAGTTACAGCAACAACCTGTCACAAAATTTTTAAAATGTTAATTGAGGTTGAAGACTTTCTGCCGAAAGAACAAACTTAGCTGTGTTAGTTAATGAAGTTTTGAAGCACAGCGTCATATTAATAGATCAGGTGAAAAGAAGTAACTTCCTCAAGTTAAGTTTACAAAATGTTTTCCTAAAATTCTGTTTAGATGCTTGATTTTAACAGCATATCATCAAAATGTCGATGACAAATAAATAAATTAACTAATTAATTAACTAATTAATTAATTAGTTAATTAATAATTGTTGCCCTGGTTACGTGTATTTTTAACGGGGGTGGCAGGATTGATAGTAAAATATTCATCTCATTGTGCGCATAGAAACCGTAATGGCAATGATGATAATGATGATGAAGATGATGAGATTGATGATGATGAAGAAGAAGAAGAAGAAGAAGGAGAAGATTATATTCATGCTGGTAAAGATGATGATGATGTTAATGAAGACGATGATGATAATGACGACGACGACGATGAGGCTGACGTTAATGATGATGATGGAGACGAGATTGATTTTGTTTGTGGTTTGGCTTATGATGAATTTAAAATTGCTTTCTAGCGTTTTATGATAGTGCAAGAGGCAAGGATGATGATGTTGTACGTGATGATGATGATGACGCTGATCGCTGAATGTGATGATTCTGTGTGATGATAATGAAAATGTTGATTATGCTGATTGGATGATAAAGTTGATAGAGAGGGGTGGGTGGAGTGGTGGATGGTGTGGTGGGTGGAGTGGTGGGTGGTGTGGTGGGTGGTGTGGTGGGTGGAGTGGCGGTTGAGGCGCTTGTTTCTGCAGCTGAGATGACTGAATTTGAATTCAAAAAAGGTCATCATCATCATCACCCACAACACGCAATGTTGGTGATGATAATGATAGCATTGGAGTCAACAGTCACGTTGGAATCCACAAGGATGATGATGATCATTATCACCATCATCGGAAGTATTTTGAATCCACGCTCCGTAAATTATTAATGACAATAATTTTAACTTTTTTCATCATTGTTAAATATTAAAAACATGATGACGTCAATCAAATTGCAATTCTTCTTAACTGAACTCTTCAAGTTTTTCGTAAATTATTTTATGATGAGGGGAGCGAATGTGCGATGAAACTTTTATGGTTCATTCGATTGTAAATCTTAGGAGGGAATTAATGAAAAAATGTTCCCTTGTTCTTAAACATGCTGACTGTTTCAAACAAGTAAATAAAATTCTGTCCAGTTGATAAATAAACGAATCGGTTTGTCAGTGAAGTTTTGTTAAATTCAGTACAGATTGTTCTTCATTCGAGTAAGAATTAAAAAATTCATTTGCGTTCACTCTTACTTTATTTTAATTTCAAAGCTCAAATTCGCCTATTTATATTTTATCCAAACTTTTTTCCAATTGTGTCTGTTTAATTGTTTTGAATGTCAACTTTGTTGTTTAAAAAATGTTTAAGATACTTGAGCCATGCAGACATGGCTGAATATAAAAAATTTAATCGCTGCCGTGAACGAAATATTTTACTACCTCAACTGACTTTTTTAAATAACATGCCTCGCTTCCTCTCGTTCCTCTGCAGGCGTAGGCAAAATCTTTTTGAATTTCTAAAACCATTTTTAATAAAAAATGTTGAAAAACCATTTTTTTTATAAAAAATGTTGAAATACTGAAATGTGAAAAAGTCAACCAAGCAGCTTATTGAACTTTTGAAATTTTTCATTCAAACGTTGAAAGGATTGTGAAAGGACGCGTGTGGCACGGAGCAGCATGCAAACAGGACAGCAGCCACACGCGCGCTTATTCTTCCACACGTTCGTCTTTGTAATTCAGACAATTCAGACGTGCAGACGACTGGCTCGACTGACTTTTTCATTGACTTTCTATCCTAGGCTTGCAGCTAAAAATTTCTTGTAGGCAGAATTTTGAATGGAATTTAAAATTCATTTTCAAATTTATTAATTATTTTTGCTATTTTAAACATTTAGTTTTTATTGAAACTTTTCAAAATATTAACTAAAATTTAAAATTGGTTTATGTTGCTTTGAAACTTGTAAACGATTCAACTTGTAAATATTCTTTGAAATTGCAAAGCAAAAGTTAATATCCCATCCTGACATATTCATTTCTGAAATACTTCAGTTTAGGTGGAAATGATTTCAAATGACTCATTCAAAGCAGGAGGCAATGTAACGAATTCAAATCACAGGCGGCAACAACGCTCGATACAGGTGAGCTGAAATGCTTTTTTGAATGCATAAAATTTTTAGAAAGGACAGGCAGCAGTGTGCAGTTCATTTTTCATTGTGGCACATGTCGCCGCCACTGTTTCCAGACGTCGAGGTAGGGTGTGTTGGATCATCTCTTCCCTAATTGTATTCAATTGTATCTCAACACCACCAACACCACACAAACCGCGTTTGTGCTGCGGAGGAATTCACCTCGCAATCTGCGTCCGCTTGTGCTGAGCTCTCAAATTACAAAATATTGAAGAATCGACAGGATGGATGAATGGATGGATGGATGGATGGACGGAGATAATGAAGAAATGAAAAAAAGGAAGGAGAGATTGTTTGGTTTTGCTCTGAATACCTACTCGTTTGAAAATAAATTTTCATTTGTTAGATACATTAACGCATCCATGACGACGATGTTGATGATGACGACTACGACGATGATCATGAGGATAATGGTAACAATGAGGATGAAGATGATAATGCTGGTGATTATTTTGATGAATATGTTGTCACCGTAGTGATTATGTGGTAATGGTAATTGATTTGCAGCGGTTACAATGTAAAGTTGTATAGAAAAAATAGATGTTGGAAGATTTGAAATAAAGTGTCATGCAAACTGAAAATGGCAGTTGTTGCAATGAAACACGTTTTTAAGAAAAAGAAGAAGAAAAAGAAGAAGAAGAAAAAAAGAAGAAAAAGAAGAAGGAAAACAACAACGACGACGACGACAACAACAACGCAAGCAAAAAAAAAATTTTTTTTCTTTATCATTTAGACATATCAGTGACATGCACAACCCGGCACAACATGCAAGAAATCATGCTCAACCACGCATCACACTCATTGCATGAAATTTTGTTTGCATTCGAACCTGGTCATTGCAAAGCAGGACTCAACATAACAGGATTTGCACCTTTAACCGTTACACTATCAGGCCGTTCGATGCTAGAATTGCAATAACATTGAACTTTGTCTTTCTGTGGTTATTTAATATCGTATTGATTATTTAAATATTAATAATGTTTTTATTTACCAAAATTTAAATTAATTTGCGTGATTCGTTGCAAATCACAACAGTGCACCTGCCTGCCTACGGAGTTGCATGTCACATCCGCATTTGGTTATTCAAATCAAATCAACGAAATAAAAATAATAACGAAGAAGGTGGGCAAGCACAACACTAATCATAAACGGTTTTCTCGGAAATTATTTGAATAAAATTTACATGCAAACATTTTTGCCCCTCCAATAGTTTTACAAAAAATCAAATTAGGAAATCCCACTGACATGCCCCGTGCCCACAAATGTTGCAGCGGTTGGCAGCGGCGTGTACCTACATGTGCATCTCGAATGATGCGTACCTAACGAGTGCGCGGGCCACAATTATTTTTACACCTGTGTCAAAAATATTGCAAAATACATGTTCTATTCTAATTCATATTTTTATTTATTTTTATATTTTTTAATTGAATTTTAGTTGTGCAGTTTTTTTACGTACAAGTTGGATACAAACAACATTACAATATTTATGGGTTTCATGCTGAAAGTTGTAGTGAAAATAATCTCAACTCTCAACACATCGTGAACAACATTCAAAATCGATTCACATTAAGCGTGAATGAATGCATGAGAATACTTCTTATTGCATTGTCGTTGTTATGAAAAACTGCTAAAACTTGCTGCAACTGAAAAGTGGGCTGTTAATTTCATTTGTAAAAGATTCGTTTTCACACCACAAAAAATTAAGCAAACAAAAAGAAAAAAAGAAAAAGTGAGAGAGAAAGAAAGGGAGAGAAAGAGAGAGTAGATTGATGATGGCTGACGTGGAGTTCTGTTGGAAACATGGCGAAGAATGGACATGATGACAAAAATAGCGATGAAAATAATGTGTTGCCAGGCAAGAAATTTATTTCAATGCTTGCTTCTTCTGATTTTGTTTCTTCAAACGTAACACCTTCCACCAAAACCACAAACAAACATGATAATGACATTTCAAGCTTTCCATATACACTATATACCTTTTTCACAAATTTAATAATTTTCATTTCCATTTAATTCAATTTTTTTAATTTAATTTTTATTTTAAAAATCAAAATTGTTCAGAGGAAAAACGAAAAAAACTCAATACTTTGAATGAAAATAAAATTAAAATTTTTTTAATCAACTATTTTTCAAAGAGGATAATTTTTTGTTGTCACTAAATTCAGTATGGTCACAATACGTTGCGGCGGCTAAACCCACACACATTTCCGGATTTTCCAAAACAAAATTCATTTCCGGTGAACTTTTTAAAATAATGTCCAGCGCTGAGCTAACTGTTTTGATTGCAGATGTGTATGATGAGTCACTTCTCGTATGAGCGCTTGTAATTTGAGTGTTTGTAAGGCTGGTTTTTCATTATTAAGCAAAAATATGAAAAACAAAGTTAATCTATCTCATAAAATTTTACCGTCAAAAAACAGAGATTGATGGGTAAAAAATTTTCTTCTTCCACATTCGCCTCTGATTAAAAATATTCACCAAAAAATGTTCGTGGAACAATTTAAAAAGTCATTTCTCTTTTTGCAAGTGTGTGGTGTGGGATGTGCTGTGTAGGTTGGTGAATGTTTCAATCATCCGTTCACTTCAGAAGTTTCCAGTTCTCAATTTTCCTACAACATTTCATAGATGTCAATGACACGGCCATCAAGGCTGTTTTCAGTAGAGGTTTATATATATATATATATATATATATATTAAGGTGAGTCGAAATGTAAAAAATATTAAGTTGGAGATCCTGTACATGTCTAAAAAGTTGCTTTTTAATGTACTCGTTTGAAAAAACCTCACTTTTTATTTTATGGACAGTGTCTACAGGTCCCAACTCTGACTAGAAAGACTACATAAATACCCAATGTTAGTGTAATGTATTGCAATGTATTACAAATTAAAAAGAATGTAAACTGTAACGAATCAATGTTAAACAGCAACAATACAAAGTTGTTTATAAAACTGTTAATAAAATCTTTCTTGCTGTCTATTTTTGGTATCTCTAATCTGGATTTCTTACTCTGTAACACCATGCCATGACGGGACTTTCTCCCATAAACTTTACATCTGGCAGCGCTAACGTCTTTAATTGTTCTCTCTACTGCCTGTGAATGACATGGAACATCGGGCAGTAGTATTGGATGTGTGTAAGTAAGTTGATCATTTGAAAGGTGTGATAGCATCGGAGGAGACGTAACATTACTCTGGTCTCAGTCAATCATGTTAATGAACGATGTCGCAGCCAGATTTAATGTTATATCCTTCTTATCAAAGACGCGAACCGGTATGTTACTATTAGTCTGCTTCTCTCTTGCTCTTATTATTTGTTCTACTGAAAAACGACGAATTTCCATATCACTATCACTAACTGCAGCTAAAAAAATGTTTTCAGCATGCGCAAAGTAGCAGTTATTTTTGAGAACAGGACGAACCACAGCCTGATCTAAAGCATCAAGTTCCCGAAACAACTGAACTAAGTAAAAGAAGTTGTTAGCACCATTTCGGCAAGAAGAATTTAATTTTGGACCAAGAGGGTCCGTAAAAGTTCAAAATGAAATGCGTTACTCTTCTGAGAGGTTCAGATGCCACTTCTCTAGACAAGTAAAGACGCAAAATCCTGTTGGCTTTCGTCAACCATCGAGCATGACTTAAATTTCCAGGTAAACTCTTCTCGAGAAAATCAATATCTCTAGAAGCCTGACGTCCACGCTGTACTGCTAGACATGCTTTCAAAAACTACAGTTGGTCTGTGCTAAGATCCTTCTTGACAGCTTCATCACAATCAGTCACCTTACCAGTAATTGGCAAATAATTAACGACAGGCAATTCATTTGGATCATATCACATTTGGATCTAGAGCTGAGCTAATTGTACCTGTCGATGTGGAAGGTCCTGTAGTTCGAGCAAAATCCACGCCTGCCAAAAACCTTCTAAATGGCAGCTCGTTACAGTGTGGAAGGCATACCAACCACTGTAATGGTCTATTATTGAATTATTAGATCTATTATTGCAAAGAAGAAAATAAAATTACAAAATAATATATTAGATATTTTGCTTGTTTCTAAAAAATCCAGCACATGGTTTGTTGTTAATGTTGGTGACGTCACATGCAAATAACGTTATAAAATTTACTCTATTTCTTTTTTAGCACTTGTAGTTAGGTGCTAAGCCATTTGCCAATGCATTTTAGTCAATGATTTATAGTTGGTACGTATTTAGATTGTACCAAAGAAATGGTTAAAATACACCAAATAAGGTAAGACTTTAATCAAAAGTTGGGACCCCTAAACGTTTCATAAAAAATCTTTAAATATTATTTTCATACTGTACTGATGCCAAGACAACTTTTTGTTCGTGTACAGGAAAAATAAAAAAATTCGACCCACCCTAATATATATATATGGCATGGCATGGAGAATTTTTATAGCGCCCCTCTATGTAAAACTCAGAGGCGCCGTTCGAGAAGCTGCCGGTCAAAAAAGTGATGTTTAAGTCGTTTTCGGAACATATCTCTTTCATCCATACTATCAACGACATCATCGGGCAGTTTATTCCAAAACCTCCGCTGCAGCCACGGAGAAACGACGCCGTCCATAATTTTCTGTCCTGAACCTAAGAACAACGAGTTTCTTTTTGGCAGAGGATCTGAGTTTTCGCCCCCCGGCAGCGTAGGGACAGGCACGATCAGCTGTTGAAGGTATCGAGGACCAAGCCCCATCAAACTGTCTCTTGTAAACATTGCTATTCTGAATATATATATATATATATATATATATATATATATATATATATATATTATATATTATATATATATATACATATAAACAATGATTAAAATGTTTCCTTGCAAAGATATATCTATCGTCAGAAAAGTATGCAACTGACGTAACTGATCATTTGAATTTTGAATTCGAGGAAAATTGAGGATCGGTCCTGTTACCTTGCTTTAAAAGAGATGGCGAGTTCACGACGACTCCCAACTTCATACATACATGATCATCTCTACTGCATAATAAAATGCACTGATATATGAAGTGGGTGTGTGTATGTGTGTGTTAAATGTATTACCAATTTATGTTCTGTCAATCTTATTTTGTATGTCTATACGCCTTTGTATGAATTTCAATAATGGGGGTATTTATGTCTGCTTTTCAATTTGACGTTATATGATTTGTGCATGGCAGTAATAATTGAATGATCCGGCATGATTCAGCAGACAGGTGATGTCGGGTTGTTTATGTTCTGCTGTCATTCACCATTTACTACATCGTCCCTTCAAATATACTATTGAATACGTTTCTAATCATTTTGACAACTCATCATTATAAGATTAAATTCAGAAAATATTAAAAATATTGCGATCTTTAATTTATTAGTTGTTACATTAATGACCGCACTAGCGAAAACACGAGCGAGTCATTTTAGAAATTGATAATACATGCAAATTAAAATATTTTGAAGATGAATTGTGAAATTAATCAAAACTGTGGTCGGCAGAGACTCTGTGGTTTTTAATGGATGGTTTTACGTATCCGATACTACAAAAACTCAAAAAATATTTTGTGGAAATCAATGGTCACCATTCACTAACTTCGAAAGGATAAGCACCGAACAAAGGATTTTGTTAGTTGAGTTACAATCAGTACAGTTTTTTTGTTACAAACATTTATTTTGTTTAGTAAGTGCAATGCAATCGCGGTGATGCTGTAACATTTTTTGAAACTCTTGAAATAAAAAAATGAAACAAAAAAAAACTTGTTGAAAGAGAACAAACCATTTTTAGATAAAAGTAAGTTTCAGCGGCATTTCTCAACCATATTCGAGTTTGTTTTGCACTTTCTTCGTCATTAATCTTCAATTCAGCCCGTTGAATTTTTTGAAACCTTTGAACGTAAACGCTGCTCATTTACTTTTTTTAATTAAAAAAACCAAACAAATTCCGTCACAAAAATCTTGTTGGTTCTTTATTCAGCCGATATTTTTTTTTTTTGATAAAATGTGGTCTTTCCAGTTTAAGTTATTGTAAAAATAACACCTCGAAATTTGATAAACTCAACTCTATTTATGACAAATTATTATAAATTATTGAAAAAAATTGTAATTTATTTACGGTCTTGGGTCCAAATAAAATAACATTAGTTTTTGAAATATCCAGTTTTAAAAAGTTACGATTCAGCCAAAAAGACACATGAACAAGTTCAGAGTTTAAAAGATTTTCCACCTCAAAGTTTGACTTACCACTCGCCAGTATTGTAGTATCATCTGCAATCTGCATACATAACAAATTATTAGTGAATACGTTAAAGAACGAGGTTCCCAGTATGGATCCCTGAGGAACTCCACAACTGACAGGTAGCAGGTTAGATTTGATATTTTTGTTGATAACATATTGATATCAGTTTCTTAGATAATTCTGACACCAATTCCAGACTAAGCCATGGATTCCATAATGTCTGATTGTCTACTTTTATAAACTGGGATAACTTTCATGATTTTAAGGCATTCTGAAAACATCCTAGAAAATAAGTATGAATTAATACAATAGGTTAACGGTTCCAAAAGGCTAATGATAATTTTTTTGAGTAATAAATTTGATACTCTATCTTTGATATCTGATACTCTCTCGTTTTATGTTGTTGATTTTTATTTAATATTTGATTAATTATTATTTTTCATGTAAATTTTGTCATTTTTACTACCTTTTAATTTTTTGAAAGTATTCATTTTTTGCTTAGCATTTATGTATTTATCACACACACAAAATCTATAGAGTGATCTGATAAATCTGAATATATAATTCCTAAAAAATGAATCAGATTGTTGTTTGTGAAAATTTTATCTATAAGCCTGGAAGAATTATTAGACATCCTAGTAGCATTAGTTATTAATGGCATAAAATTCCAAGAATACATACTATTTAAAAATACTGAGATTGTCATGGACTAAAAGATTAATGTTAAAGTTTCCAGTTATATAAATTGATTTGTTGTTAAAATTTTTCACTTTTATAAATTAAATTGACTGACTGGTCAACAAAAGAGAATGTATAATAATCTGGAGGTTTGTAAGTGACAATGATAACAACGTTAGGTCTGCGATTTAGTAAAATTTCGACAGCCATACTTTCAACATTTCCATTTGAGAAACTGAGATCATCTTTTATAACAAAATTTAGCTTTTTTTTGATGAACATTCCGACTCCACCTCCAACTCTATCACTTCTGTTTTTAAAGATAAATTTAGAATATGAATTGCCGTGATGAATCATCTTTGAACCATGTTTCAGTAACAGTTATCACTTCTATCATTAATAAGAAATTCAATATCATCTGTTTTTTTTAATATGATCTTTACATTTAGTTTGGTGAAAGCATACCTTAAATTATTTATATTTACACATGTTCCAAACAGATGATCTATATTTTTCATGTTACTCTCACTACAGAGTTTGTACAAATTATTATCAAAAACACATCTTCAACAAAGTAAGACCTTTTTTTGTTTTCGAAACGGGTTAATCTACTTTCAAATATTATTGGCACTCATCGTTAAGAGAAGAAATTTTCAACAACTTAAATGTCCCTCTCATCGATTGTTATAAGCTGCAAATGATCCACGCTATCACATGCTTTGTCCCAGTCAATGAAACCATTTTTTTTTTCTTCCGTCCACGTTGAAATTTTTGAAAAGAAGTCTCCATACCGGACGCCATGATAATGATTATGAACGTAATAATTTTTTCTTGTAATTATTTCACCACTTTCAGATTAGGTGCACCACAAAATGTGTCAAATTTTTTCACTGATCTCTTTACGTATATGGAGTTTGCATTTTTAATCCTCTACCTTTTCATAGAATTACATTTTTCATTCAACCGTTTTTTTTTGTTTCTGAAACATTTTTGGTTATTATTTTGTCAAGCTTTCAAGCCTTTTGTATTCAGTTGGATTGCCACCTTTGGTTTCCTTTGTTATTCCATTAAAAAATGTCAGCTTACATCTATTTTCGATGTTTTTCTTTTTCTCGTGCAACTACTTTTGTTGCCGACCTATATGACTGCATCTTTGAATGTTACATATTCTGTTCCTTTCAATGCATGAAAAAATTACAGCACATTCATTTCATCAAATACTTACGGCATAAAAATGTTTGCTTCCGACCACATTATGGGACACATTCAACTTCATCCCCTGCAACACAAACATGAATCATCTTTAAGCACAGCCACTTAATTATTATTTTCAAACTAACATCCAACATCTTCGAAACTTTCAAACACACACATATTGAACACACACACATACCAACAAACACATTCACACACGTGAGCACAAGATGCGTTCATCAGTCTGCAGACCTGAGCAAACCTGCTCATCACTTGCGAACAACAATAAACCATTAAGCGAATAGTAAGCTATCAAAAATGCACTAGCCAACCAAGCAAGCAAGCTAAATTGCTTGCTGATGACGATAACGTTTCATATAGTGTGATCACTAGAATAACGACAACAACACGATGTTGAGACTTACAACAAAAATTACAATACATAGTAAATTATTTGAATAAAAAAAGATTCATAAAAGACAAAATAATTACAAAAAAATGAAAAAAGTGTTGTTCATTAAAACGGATTTTTTGTTTGTTCCCAATTTAAAACGGCAGGGTAGCAGGATGTGTTTGCAATAACGATGCACTAATACAAAACAATTTTGTCTGGAACATTTTCAACTGAATGTTATTTTGCTATTCGAATGTTTATTTCAAAAATTTAGAAATTTACTTAGTGTATTTGTTTTCATTGTTCAATGTCATCTCATTTCCTAAACGTAGTATTTTTGTTGGTATGATTTGAATAGTGTGTTGAAGTCTGCTGTTGGCTGTGCTGGAGTGTAACGAATTTTTAAGATATTTATTTTAAATTGAGAATTTTTTGATATCATGTTAAATTTAAAAACCAAATTAATAGTCAAAAAAACACTCAGTGACATGATCATAAAAAATGTTGCATTATTAAAATTTTATAGATCAGACAAAATTGAACATGAGGTCCCGCTCTGATTCGAAAATGACGTGACGTGGTGAGACCCCACACGAGTTGGTTATTTATTTTAATATGGTGAACAAAGAGTTCGCAGGTATATTTTGTGAGAATCAATTTTTTTTAATTGTTACCAGCTAACGCGCACAAAACAACAAAACTTTGCGAAACAATAGAATATTTTTAAACAGTTAAATAATATAAGCTGGAGGAGAAAAACGTTATTTCATCAATTAAAAAATTGATATGTTAGATTAAATAAAATTATTAAATTTAGTATTATTAAAATTAAAATTATTAAAATTAGAATTAATGAAATTGATTTAGTTTTCATGAAACTATCTTACAAACTTTTTCTTATCTCCACTGCTCGAATGTTTGCAGATAAATTCTTCAGCCAATATCTATCTGTTGGTAACACAAAAAAGAAAACTTATAAATGAACGAACCAACGAACAACCAGGCGACGGCATAAGTGCGTACTAATAGGCAAATTGTTTATTCATTGAGCTCAACACGCTGAAACGACTGAGCCAATAAAGCGAAATGCATTCTGGCCACGAAGGCAAACTCGTTGGTGAGTAATTCGCGCATGTCGTTTACGCACCTACACATTGCACAATATACACTAAAAAATTGAACATATAGATTCATATATTTTTTTAATGTAAATTTTATTGTTTAGTTAATTAAAAATTAGAAAAACTTAGTTAAAATAATGTATTGCATTGTAATTATTTAATTAAAGTTGCATAAAATAGAAAGTGATGAAGTATTTATATAAGTCAAAATTTTATTCAAAAAATATATGACGATTATTAGCTGGAAAAATGTATGACACCCTGACTTTTCAGTTTGTTGATTTTTAGAATAAAAATAATCTAACAAGATCTAACCGGAACGATATAAACGATATGCGTGCCACAATATATGCCACAAAAAACTCTATAGAATTGTAAGTACGCAACATTCAAAATCAACTATTCTCCCATCAAACAACAGTCTACTAAATAACATTCCACAGAACCTCACTTCCCGCTCCAACAACACTCCATTCTAACAACACTCCACGCCAACAACACTCCACTCCAACAACATTCCACTCCAACAACACTCCAACTACACGCCACTCCAGCCACACAACTACAACTCATGACAAACATCGTCTGTTCATCGTGTGTAGTGCTCAGCAATTCATCACGATATTTTGTTCCAGCTCATCGTCCGCTTAATGTTGATTGCTCATGGAACAATTATGAAGATTACCCTTTTTTCTCCTCTTAGTTTTTGAATCTTTTGCATTTTTATTTATTTCAAACTTTCCTAAAACTGTTTCAACAAAAAATTAGCTTAGCAAAAATATTTCATTGTAAATATTCCGGGTTGGACGTTGCCGGCAAATAAACAAACACCCACATTTGGTAGAGTTAACAAACGATGAAAAAACTTTAAAAAATCATCCAAACACAGTAACATCAACGCCACCAGAAAAATTTATAAACCATATTTTTAGAACATTTGCACCATTATTTGGTTTTGGTTTTCTGGTCAATCCAGGTCATACTTCTTAAAAATGCAAAAAATAGTTTATTTCTTTTAAACGAAAATTATTTTATAAAAGTCGATTAAGTTTTTATGGAGGCTGATTAAGTTTACGATCTTGAAAACATTTCGATGTCTAGTTCTAATATTTGTTTTGCAGTTTTCAAAGCAAAACTGTGACAAAAAACCTGCCACGCGAAAAAAGATTAATTTCCATTTTTGGCACCTCCCCTCCAATCAACCAACACCGACGAAAGAGCGTAAAATAGCACAAAAATTTCTCGACACAATAGCGTAAAACAAAAAAGCGCAACTTTTCCGACAA